GTGAAACAAGCCACACCACTAGGCACCAGGCAATCTTTCTCCGCTGTATTTACGCAATGTCCTTCCGGAGAGCGTAAATCCTTCCTTTCTGACTGAGCGTAGCTCTAAGACAGGTGGGCTTATTATTCCTTCAGGTGACCTCAGTGTCCAGGCACGCCAGTCACGAGTCCGACGACAAACTGGCCGCGACAGCTGCCGTCCGTGTCGAGGCGATATGTCGACGTGGCCGCTTCACGTCAAACAATGCACCCGGCAGCACACCGGCACGATCCGGTACTTAACATTCCGCCAAGGCCGGATTCCCGTCGGAGGCAGTCAGCACCGACATCGTCGGGGCCGTGACGCGGTCACACCACCCCGCAGTCAGGTCACGCACACATCCCTGTGCGAAGGAGGACTCGTTTCAGCCACGCCACCTCGAGCCAGGGAAGAAGTACGGAAGAAGAGGAAGAAGTAAGGCAGTGCTCTCGAAGAGACGACTTGAAAAGGAACGAGATGAGATGAGGAAGAAAACGAGCTGACACGTGAGACGAGGCGCGACGAATCGAGACGAGCCGAAACGAGGCGAGACGACACGAACGAGACGAGACAAGCGAACAGGACGAGTCTAGCCGGCATCTTCGTTAGGTGGGCCAGCCCGCGGCGTCTCGAGATATCTGGATAGGCGCTGTGCGATGGAAATCGCAGGCAGATGGTCGCTCAGAGGGTCCGGGACCGACGCCCCGCCGCCAGAAAATACGGGACATCGGTCTATCGCGCATACGGGACGGCCGTCTATCGGCGCCGCATCGCGAGGAGGCGGTATGGAAAGCGGCGTGCATGTGAATCCGATAGCGCTATGACACGAAGGCGGCGACAGCGAGGACCGAGATAGATCGATGGCGGCTGAAGAAAGCAGGAATGCTAATGACGAAAACAGACCCCCGACAACGGGACGCAGCTGAGCGATGGGATTCGGCGAACATACCAAGTGATTTGATGGGTGGTGGCGTAGCATATTTACGTCTGGACAACGAGTTGCGGGGAAAAGTGCTGATTCTGTTGCAGTTTTAGGAGCCGGTGATTAGGCTGGATTTTTGGGTTACTTTTTCGTTCCGATTCATGTATTTCATAGTGTTTGGCTTTTGAATATTTTAGTTCTTTCAGATAAATATTACTTGCTTTACAACTTTTGTAAAAACGTTTCATTTTTTATAAGCCGACCTTCAGAGTCCTAAAAATACATCAGCACTACAGTCATTGTAAACAAACAAATGGAGCACGACTTTTGGCTCTGTTCCAACTTCCAAGGCGCTTTTTAAGTTTATCTGGTGGTTTCCGTACTCTTGTACGTCGTTTTGTTGGATGTTTTGAATCCCTAAGATTGACTTATATCATATTTAAGAAGCATGTGACTGAATACAATCCGAAGTATCCAGGGGGCTGACAGAGGTCCTGACTCCTGACCAATATCAATATCAAGTTGAACTTGAAGTTATGAAATTTTGGTTGATAAACGCAAGTTGAACGGGCTCATATATCAGCAAGAAAAAGTAAAATTAAAAGAGCTTATTGGCCGAAAACAAGCTATAATATTGCAGATCTTGGAGCAATACTGAAGACCAGTGAAGAGCGCGCTGAGCAGGATCATGCCAGAAAATGTTGACTGATGAGCGCACTGCGCATATTGATGTATTGGTATGAATATTGAATGATAACTTACAACAGCAAGATATATTAGTGCTATCAAGTTAAAAATCTAGAATGAATGGACTTTGGCAGCTTTACTATGCTTAGATGCTATGCAGATTGTAATGTGCATTAGGTACTCAGTGTCTGGCAAATGAAACATGCGATCATTCCATTGCTACTGGAGGAGAAAGCTTGGATCACTAAATCCACTTGATGTTTATTTTGATGTTAATCATTACTGTATTTCTTGGAAAAAGGATTGTTATGAAATTGTCAATGTGACAATCCATGCAACGATGTGATCATATAATGTGTTCATAGTCATTCGTGAGTGATTGTTGGTCCAATATACAATGGCAAAGCTCTCAGTCTCAGCGTTTCTTCCTGTGGATGGCCAGCAGTGACTCAGAGCTTAGAAGTATTAGTTTTCTTCACAGGGCTGGGATAAAAAGTACTGAGGGTAATCTTCCACCAAGGAACTCTACTTTGACATGGTATGAGATGTAGGCACAAGTAGGTAGGTGCTTAGTTCCTATAGTCAGCAGTTGTGTAGGTTTAGCCGGGTTAGCTTAGATGAGGTTATGTTAGTTTTTTAATTTGCCAAGTGTCCATAAAATGTGACTTGAGCAATGAGCATACATGAATAACCTGACAGCTGACCTAACCTCAATCATCACACATATTTGCAGCCTACCCAAGACCTGCATAGCAGTAGCACCCAGTTATAGGTAGGTACTCACCCTAACTCAATCTTACCTGCTAACCTTCAACTTGCCAATAGTTAGCTCACCTTGCCAAGCTGCATCCAGGGAAACAGTCAACTGAGGAATGGCTCATTGGGTGGCTGGTGTGAGTCTGTGCATTTAAAGTGTTTCTTCTCTGAAGCTGCTCTGCACTGCTGTATGTCATGTTAGATGCTCAGAAAATGTGGGAAATGATTACTAAGCTACTTAAGTGCTTTGTTAATGCTCGAGACATGAAAAAGTACAAATCCTGCAGGGTACAGCTATGAGTTAGGTGCTAGGTGAGTATGTTATGTGAATGTGCTGTTCCCTGTTTGACCATAGTAAGTATACAAACAAGCACAGGGTCACAGTTATATTCAATCTCCAAATAAACATACAACAAAAACGGCCATTTAGCCTCACTCCGAACACACCACAAAGAACTTAAGCCTTTGCAGGTACAAAAATGCTTTGATTTACAGGACAGGTATACAATATAGGTATCCTTTGTCCTTGGGGATCTTGCTGCCAAGTTGAGGTACGATGACTGAACTTCAGGATTGATCAACCTTTTCTTCTTAGCCACGCTGCTCTGCTTATATACGAGAAAGACCAAATGCTTGTTTGTAAACTGCCTTGAAAATTTAATGATCCACCTTCAATTCTGACATGAAGGCACAAATAAAATAGTTCTCTCTCCTTTTGGAATACACAAAGCAAAATATTTAATAACTTTCCCCTCAGGGCATTCATGAATTACACTGACGCTTATTCGCTTCATATTTTGTAACAAACGCGCTAAAACTGCAATATAAAAGCACTATATTCTTCGTGACAAAATGCAAAAGTAGTAATAATTTAGCCCTGATGGCATTCATTCTTGGTGGACACGTAATTACAAAATATTTTGTAGTAACTATTAAATTCCGGCCGAGAACAGTGCACGGTTTAAAAAAGAATCATTCCAATGACGGTCCATTCTTGCGGTCCTGAAATCGCCACTATTTCCGGCCTCTCCAACGCAACTCGTTGTCCAGACGTAAATATGCGGTGGCGTATATTCAAACCAGTAAGTGTGGCCACAAGAAGTAGCAAACACCACGCGGTACGTGTGATTTTATCGGACAGAGCGGCTGGCTCGGCAGTGACCTATGGCTCTCAGCTGCAGCACAGACAGATGGCAGTGCTCGGTGTGTGGCAAGCACGCTCTATGCATTCAAACGTCTCCCCGGTGAGCTCCCGGCATTATTTACCTTTCAGGAGTTAACACTTAGCTACTCAGTTACCTCTGGCAGAAAGTTAAATAATCAACAGTCAAAGGTCTTCGATAGTGACACTTCCTTGCAAGGCAACAACCCTTTACAAATACGTTCGCTTCAGTACTTTTTGCAGTGGGTATTTGTTGAACATCAGTGGCGCTTTCATTTCTCAACACTGCCCCATGTTTCGCCTCGCTGACATAAAGGGCCCCTTCGCGGAAATGTTCATTCAAGCGACCTGTGCTGCCGTTGCTACTTTCCTCGTCTGGCGCCTCCTTTTTGCCGCCTGTCTGTCCACCACTCATCACGATTGACCGTGCTGGCAAGTAGAGGTATAAGAGTGGGCCGTATCCAACAGCCATCTGCCTCATGACGGAGGCGCGCGGTCACGTTTGTCCTTCATCATCCCCTTTCATCGATTCAGCATTTCCATATCCCCGAACCACACCTTGCCCTTCATCGCTGTGACAAGAGCACCGCACCCACGACCTTGTCTCGTCGCGTAGGCGCCCGGTTTGGTGGCCGACGAGACGGCTCATCCCTCTCTGGGGTGCTCGAGACAGGGCCGATACACCAATCTCGGCGGTCGGTTCGGCGCACGACCTGACCGCCCCGCGATCGGATGCGCTGCCTCTGCCGCCGTCTCATTAGCATACGTTCTGCACTGGGTCGGGCCTGCCGCCGAGTCGGCTATTCAGTGGGGAAACCCGTCCCATACGACCGGCTGATCCACTGCATAGCCGGTGGGACAAAAGGCGGCTGATCAGAATCACCAAGTGTTACTACGGAGATATGGAGTCTTTGATGTCGAGAGTCATGGTGCCGTAAGCTTGGTGGACATTTTTTGAACTTGTGAGGCCCAGCCTATTCGCTGGACAGTGTTGAATTAGGGTAATGCAAAAAGACACCCGAATAAGTGGCGTTGACTGGTAAATCATGGTGTTCTGCTTACCAAAATGCATGTGAGGTATAAAATATGCATTTAGTTTTACACAGAAATCACACTCGCCAGAAAGAAAACAATAAGCCAATTTGCACCTGAAAATAATTGAAAAAGCCTTGCAAAACACTTAAAAGTAACACAACTACTGTAATAAATTACCGCCGAGCATGAGTTTAGAGCAACCAGCGCCCCGAGGCGTGGCATCCAGCTCGCCTTCCTGCCAGACGGCCAGTCTCGACCAGACGGATGCCGCCTGGACGTGCCTCGGGGCATTTCAAGGAGCGAATGCCCCGGGACATTCCAAGGAGAGAAAAGGACAGCAGGTAAAACGAAACATATCATACGGCGAGGGCCTAGTCTAGGCACAGAAACAGTCGTCAGACGTGCCAGAAAGGTACTTACTCGCACCGTTCACGTATTTAGGTCTGATTCTGGCCTCCTGTCGGAAAAAGAGAAACACAGGTCAGTTTTGTTAGCACTTGCTCTGTTGAGATTGGTTCCTTACGGCAGTGCGTGTTTTTCTCGTAGATTGTAACAGCAAAACACATTAACGAAAATCACGTCAGCATCAAATGAATTTGCAATGCTACATTGTCAATGCACCAAAAAGCTTGCCAATAGACCATAAATTGTGACAACCAGAATTTTAGAGCAACAAAAACGTCACAGACATTGCAATACGCTCGTTACGGAGCGAGCGAAGCGAGCGTAGTCTTTCCTTAGATTAACGGAAATTTCTGAGTATGAGCGGCCGGCCGGCCGGCCGGCCGGCCGTGGTCACGCTTTTGCGACGCTTATATCTCAGCAACCACTTGACCGATTTACACGCGGTAATTTTTGTAGGGTAGCTTCATTCCTTCTACCAAGTATTGGACTATTCCCGATGCATGTGGGTGACCCCTTATGCACGTGCCACGTGCAAAACGAAGAGGTGTCACTTTTGTAATTGTTGCAATATCTCGGTAACTACTTGGCCGATTGCGCTGAAAGTTGGCATGTAGCTAGGCACCCACTAGGCAATGCATATCCATGTGCCAGAGTTGGGGTGCTGCTGCACGTGCGCACGTGCAGGGGTCGATTCCAGATCTCGAGAACGGCTGGACCGATGGCGCTCAAATTTGGTACATGGTTAGGGACCGGTTAGTAGGGTGCAGTGCAAAAGTCAGTTGGGACCCATTTTGCACGTGCGCACGTGCAGGGTGCCGCTTCCAGATCTCGAGAACGGCTGGGCCGATTGTGCTCAAATTTGGCACATCGCTAGAGACCGGTTAGTAGGGTGCCGTGCACAAGTCAGCTGGAGGTACCCCCTCGAAATTTCGCACGTGCAAGGCTCACCCTCTCGCTCGCTCCGTTAGTCGCCCCAAAAGGCGTTATACTGGTTAAATAAACAAGGACTGATTGATATACCGAACATCACTCCACTCGCATTAAAATATTCATTGCAGGTACAAAGCTCAATAAGAAATGCAATCCAGGTCATTGGCAGCACAGGCTTTTATTGCTCTTTTGGAAAGCCGAACGTCACGTTTGCCCTTCAAAAAACACCAAGCCGCAGCCCGCACCCGATACACATCCAGAACCCCGTATTTATAAGGTACTGAAAATGTTCGGAAAAACTAGCTGCCGTCGGATGCGTCTCTGCTTTTCTGTGCTACCACAGGTCCGCAATACCACAGCCGATGATGTGATCACACCTCTGATGTTTCTAGAAACTGTATCCCCGCGTGCTGACCGTGACGCGTCCGACCACCTACTCCCTCGGCTATCGCCGTGAGGGAGGTGTCAGACACAGCGCTGATGATTTGACCGCATCACCGCTGACCTCAGGTCCTTGTGGGAGCGACAGGGCACCCCGGGCGGACCCGCGCGCGGCAGACCCCTCCGCGCAGCGATGACCTCAGTCGACACGGCACCAGAGGCGGCCGGAGGTGAATCCGGACCTTGGCGGCGCTCAGGTAAACACAGCGGAAATAGAGACCCGAGTCGCTTCGCCCCGCCCGACTGCAGCTGAGTCAGCCGCCGCAACCGAGTCACTGAGTCAGTAGAGTAAGCAGTCGACCGACTCCGGCGAACTGCGGCGGGCTGCGGCGAATTGCGGCGGGCTGCGGCGGGCTGCAGATGGTCTCTCGCCTCGATTCAGCACCCTTGTTTGGCGTCATTCACCCCCATGTCACACAACAAACGTCCGCGGCAGTGAGACGAGAACGGTCGGGATCCGAGGGCGGCACGCTCAGTTCACAGGACGAATTGGACGGCTGTGAAGGCTCAAATCACGTGAGAGCTTAGATGGTTGTGACGGCTGTGACATGGGCCGACACGCCGTATTTTGGCGTGACGCCCTCCAAATAGCCGCCAAGAGGACCGTGATTCGATGCGTGACGGCCAGACAAGTGACGTGGTAGACCCGGCTGGCCCGACGCCCAGCACGGCGCCCACCTCCGGCGCCGATCCCACAGTCACGCGGTTCCCATGTCATCCCATTGTAACTCATCCAACTGATAAGGGCGGAGAGGTCGGTCGGTCGGTCGGTCAGTTGGCCGGTCCGTGGGTCCGCCGCTCTCCTTGACACAGAAATGAGAGGGAAGTTGTCTTCCTCTCCACGAGCGGTCCTCACATTCTTGCACAGTGCAGATATTGCGTTATACTTACTCTCCCTTGAAATCGAGGAGATTCGGACATAATTTGATAGGGCAAGTGGGCGGAATGGATTTAGCTGGACCGGGCTTTGAGCGCCGTGGGCGGGCTGAGCGTGCGGAGTCCCGTGCGGCGGCCCCGGATGCGTCCGGGCCGCTCCAGCTCTGCTCTCGGCGCGGGCCGATAGTATCAGAGTCTGGGGCCGCTGCGGTCGGGTGCGGGACGGCCCACTGACTTTGTCTGTCTGCATCAGCCCGCGTGGACCCTGTATGTACAGTCTGTCTTAAAAGTACCGCGCAAAGTGACGGTGGATCCATCAAGCCTAACCGATGAAGGACTGCCAAATTTGAGTCACCGAAGCAATGGACATCCTCGTCCATTCCCCAGCTCCATTGGTTCGGTGACTTTCAAATTATAGCAGGCCCTTCCTCGGTCAGGCTTGATGGATCCACCGTCACTTTGCGCGGTACTTTTAAGACAAACTGTACGCTGAGCGTGCCTGCGCGCCGCCGGGGAGACATATAGGAGGTCGGCAGTCACTGTGCCGGTAACGGACTAATACCCTGGCGCGCTGACCTGCCTCAGGCCCGAGGGGCCCTTCGTCTGCGGCAGGCAGACCGGCCGACCCAGACAGCGCCGGGCTGTATTATCGGGGCTGATCTGGGGAAATCACCGTCTGCTGCAAGTCACTGCCGGCCCGCGGCGGCGGCAGACCACACAGGTGCAGTAGCTCACCGGCCGGGGCTCCCGGCCTCCGAAATGGGCCGCAAATCATTAGGCGCGCGCCCCGCTTAGCTTGGAGAAAATTGATATTCAGATGTCCGGCCAGCTGACTTTCTTGTCATTAAGAAGCCTTCATATAGGATGTTTTATGAATTTACCGTCGTATTGTGTATAAGTATAGTGTGAGCACTGATCATAGCTTGTTCAAACAGCTTCTCCACACATTACAAATGTCTCACAAATAGCACTTATGTTTGAGTTCCTTTTATTTGCTTTTACATAGCACACCAAAGATATCGCTGGTTGTCAAGCAACGGTCGCATCAGATGGCTATCGTCAGTTCGCTGTGTGTCAGTTCATTCACATGTGAGTGAGCCAACCAACGGACCCACTCCACCGACGGACCGCTGCACTAGCACATTCCACTTCGCCATTTTTACAGAGGCTATTTGATTGCCTCATATTTTCCCGAATGCCATCGCCATGGGTGAAAGGTGCATTATCTGAGCTATCTCGTTTTACTTATAGCAGTGCATGCTTCCACTGCACGAGCGGCATGGGGATTCACCCCTGCCCACGTGAGACGCATGGGCGTATGTGCATCCACGTGCAAATCGTGCGCCCTTTTGGTTGATGACTTAGGGTATGTGCGATACTCCTGGCTCAGTATGCACCTCTGGCTCATCCCCAAAGGCAAAAACTTCTGACTGAACAGCGCCGGCGGCCCTGGCCTCGAATCGCGGTCTGGTCTTGAGTCACTCTCAGCAGTGCCCGCAGGATCGCCTGTACGGATCTTTGTGGCCCGCCAAGCACGCACTCGGCCAATTAGCATAAATTATCACCCCGTAACTTCACAGTCTTTATTCACAAATGTCTTCATAGCGTCTGGCCGGCTGTGTGGAGGCCCTGTCTCAGTGCCCGTCTGCCTGGTAACTGTGCAGACCCAGCGAGCCGAACACGACGTGAAACAAAGCTGGCGAGGTGAAGAGCACGAACGGCCGCGCCGAGACGTGCCTCGTACCCTCGAGTGCCCGGAGAGGCTCGGCCGGGTTGACTTTGCACTCCCGACTTCCACAGTTGAGGGTCTGAGCCTTCGTTCATCGCAACAGCAGCGATGGTCCGGACCTGGCCGCATGCTAGAGCAGTGGCAAAGCTGTCTTCACTGGATGTCCCGAAGGCGTTCTCTGAGCGGAAATGTGCGGTTAGCTCGCTAAAAGCAGTGGCGGACGGCTTTAGTGACATGGCTTGGGAAACAGTGCTGAGAGTTGCGAGGTATTGGGAGGGGGACATAGCAGCGTACTTGTGGCGCTGCTTTGAATCTGAACGACAGATTTAGGTCTAGGTCCTGTCCCGTAAATGTCGTGGCTTGCTGTGTGGGAGCCGCAGCAGCAGCAGGACATGGTGACAGTGGACCCGGGAGCAGCCGCAGGGCTCAGTGACAGCCGGACGCACTGAATGTGACCCCACCGGCCACGTGCACGCCAGGTGCGGCCCCAGGGGTGAGCGGGGCAGCTCTCAGAGCGCAGCAGCGGTGGCAGCGGTCAGCAGGGGGCGCCGGAGAGAGACAGGCCCGCTGTGCGATCCAAACGCTGGCGGCGATTCGGAGCGGCGCGCCGGTGCGGGTGGCCACCGGCCCCCTGTCGGCTCAGCCGTCTGCACCGCGGCCAAGTGTGCACTGCGCCGCCGTCAGCACGGTGCACGGCGCGTGCACAGGAAGTCGGCTCGTGCACGGGTGCCGGCGCGGCACAGGACACCGCCGCGCCGCCGCCGGGAAGATAAGGAGATTCAATTCAAGGAGCACCCTCTGAATGTGTCAGCACCGCCGCTCACGTCTCCCGTTCTGCATCGCTTCTTCGGATCAATTTTTGCAGTCGAAGCAACTCATTAAGCGCCGTCATTCGTTAATGAACACGTCTTGCGGGTTTGATATTGCCGACTCATAAATGAATACAGGCCGATACTACCACCGTCCAACACTTTTACGTCCGCAGAGTTTGAGTCGTTAGGGCGGAGAAAATTCTTCAGGCTACCGCGAACTCCGATGCCCTTTAGTGCTACTGCGAAGTTTGCATGCAAATCGAT